AAACCACATTTCTCAACACCATTTGAAGGTAGGCTCTATTTTGATTGTTTAGAGCCTAGGCTCTATACAAACCGCACCCATATATATATATATATATTAATTATACATCCATAGAAATTGTACTACAGGACGCCCAAGGTTCTGGGCGCTGAGCGCCAAGCCGCCTAGCATTTTTTGAAACCTTGGTTTCCAAACAATGAGGGACATCTTTATCATTTATCCCAGAAAGTAACATATAGAATCCCATTAGGTGAATACAATACAGCATATCAACCACCCATTCTCAAGATGGATGGTGGAGATGAACCAAAGCACAGCCATGACAAACTGCATCTCTGCATTACAGTCACCATTCACATAAGGGATGCACGGTGGATGCCCTCCCTATGTATGTCTAGCATACAAATAATGTGCATGAATTTACCACCCAATAGTATACCCAACACCTCTGTGCATACTCACACGAGTAAGTGGCAACTAAGATTCCTTTTAATATTTACAAAATAAAATTAACCCACCTGCGACATAAATAATTAATATTTCTTCCATCAGACAAGATATTCAAACAAAATCCATGACTACCAATCATTTCCATGACTTCTTTTTTTTTGTGGAAGAGGGGCTGGGGATGGGGAGGGGGGGTGTAACAGCATTACTAAATATTTTCCACGAGTGAGTATTTCAATAAAGAAACTGGGACAAGACTCTGAGATTTCTACGAGCAATAATTTCTTACAATCACAAGAATTAACTCCTCCATTATTTCCTCCATCAGCATCGCATCCAATCATATCTGATGAAAATGCAATATCCTAAATGAATCATGTTTGGCATAACTAATTGTATTATAACAAGAGTAACATAAATCTTGACATTAACAAAACATATTCTGTATTATATGTTCTACAAGTGTTAGTAGTTAAATCAGAACAGAAGAATCAAGGTGGTGGAACAAAACTCAATCGCACCATCATAGACTTAGCCACTAAAGTTATAGTCAAATAACATAAAGAAACATCCTTCAAACTCACAAATATAAGTTAAAGGCAACACACCAGCAATATCTCTTAGAACTCAACAGCAAACTCACCATTTTCCCTGAAGCAAATATCAATGCTGTCGTTTTTGGCTCTCGAATTCTCATGATAACAGCAGCAAAACGCTGGTAATGAGAACATAAACAATTGAGCAAGGAAACAGCACATATTCTCTAAACCCTAGACCCTTAAACGGTGGTATAACCAACATAGAAACACATGTATAAAGTAGGCTCACATAAAGAATGTTTCAAGGACCCATAAACAGCAATTAAATGAAAATACTAGGGCTCATTGAATATCACATACCTTGGGATTGTATTCAGCATTGCGGGCTTGCAAAGCTATAGCCTTAAGGTCCAATTTGCAATCCAGGTTCACAGTTGACACAATATTCCTACATTCGAAATTAATAAGATACTAAGCACATGTTAAATGGATGAAGTAAAAGCACATTGTGGCCCACAAGACACATACCTATCCAGTAACTAAATATGAAACTTGGGATCTTTCTATACTAATACTCAAACTACCTGTTCAAGGCACAGATTCTATTTATAGTAATGGTGCCTTTTTTTAATAAGTATTTGACTGTATTATGTTTAATGGCAACTCATCATTTCAAGAGTATGCGGAGAAACTTTCTGAATTGGACACAAAATTGTTGGTTGATTGTAAGAGCACCAATCAAAAGATTGCTAGAAACAAACCACATTTCCTGAGAACTGTATATCATAAGGAGGCATGATGCAATATAACTAACCTAACATTCTGTTCTTTCCTGAGACCTGTCTATCATAAGGGGCCATGATGCACTATAATTAACCTACCATTATGTTCCCATGATAACCAAGAAACCCCAAAAACCAGAGAAAGATTTATGTCGTTTAACAGCGAAGCATACAAGCCATTTATAGACGCCTAAATGCCAAATCTATGTCAAGAGCATACATGGAGTAGGGCGAACAAGGAAACAACTTTTTCCTTTGCCGTAAGTTAATGGGGAACATCAAATTCATCAATCACATTTGAAAAATGAAGAAATACCAGACAGTTTAGGATAAACTTACTGAAGAGTGGGTACAATTCCAGAAGGATGCTTGGTAAGATCAACAGGCTGACTCCCCTCCAAGACCTGCTCTGCCATGCTCCCTTGAATCCCTTCCTTTATCAATCTTATAACCAGTCAGCCTACAATAGATATCTCAAAATTACACACCAGATTCTTCTGCAACCCTGTAAACAACACATAAATACATCACCCAGCGAAAGTGCAATTTGAATGTAGAATAATCCAAAATTTACCCTTTTTTGTATGGTTTCGGATAATTATAGAAAGGTTCTCATTTTTTTTCCCATTTTGTGAGAGAAAAGGATAACTATAAATATAGTTACAAAAACGACGAGAAGTGGTTGCAGGCAGCCCTGCTTCATCCCTGTCTCCATTGAGCATACCTGATGTTTTGAATTCGGTATTGCTAGCTGAGAATCTGAGAGATGGGGAAGAAGGGGCTTGCCAAAGGAATCTGAGAAGAGAGAGAGTATTTGGAGAGAGAAAGAAAGAGGGGTTGGGGGATTCGAGAGCGGGGTAATAAAAGTGAAACAGGTCCCCGTATTCAGATGAGAGAAAACGAGAATCTTGCTATTTATCATAGCGCCCGCCTGGATTTTCGGGCATGGATTTTTTTTTTATGGAAGAAATTTATATACGGTTGCAATTTAAAATCTAGGATTACATGTCACCTCAATAATTTATGGGAAAAAGTTGTTTTAATCCCTTTGAAAAAAGTTGTTTTAATGTTCAAAAACTTTAAATATGAAAAATATATGTATGTAAGTATAAGAAATACCGAATTTTGCAACATATTATGTACACCGTCTATTTTTTAGATTTTTATTATAGATTTACTTTATTTTAATCATTTTAGAGTTTAAAATTTTATAATTGGATATCAAAATAGATTTTCAAATAATTCTAAAAATAGTTTAACCAAAGTTATATGTTATAATCAAATGTGGAGCTACACTTTAATTGATTGTTGAAGGTTGCAACCTTATAGAAACCACAACCTTTATATATTGGATATTATAAGGAAATGGTTTATATAAGTGTGAGGCTCTAAATAATCAAATTAAAGTGCATTATAAAAATTTTTATATACTCAATATTATAAGGAAAAGATTTATATAAGGGTGAGGCTCTAAACAATTAAATTAGGGTGTATCTGAAAAATTTCATTAGAAGATGTTGTTTTTCATGATCAAATATTATCAAATTGATCTTCTCAACCTTAATATGCATGGACATAAAAAAAAAAATAGATTTCAAGTTTTGAAAATAGTGTATCTTGTAACATATTTTTGGACCATCAATTTTTAAGATTTTCAAGTTTTTATAGATCTACCCAACCTATTCTATTTTTTAAGCTTTAAATTCTATAATTAAAGAGAAATATATTTTAAGGCTATCATAAAGATTTTTAGTATTGAAACCATATTTCTCGATACTATTTGAAGGTGCACTTTACTTTGATTGTTTAGAGCATCGGCTCTATACAAACCGCACTCTTATTTTAATCAATATTTTGGCTTGCTCAATGGCGGGGATATTAAAATTTTATGAAAATTAAATTTTAACAAATCACTTAATTTTTATAGAATTTTATTTCCACACATAAAATATTTTTTGAATTTCTAACGCTTGTGGATTCCACTCATGGGCCTCTCGACTCAAAGCCTTAGGGCGTAATTGGAAGGTATTTCATGTGAAAATTATATTATTCACATTTGATATGTGATGAATACAAAAACTATATCAAATTTTAGAGAGAAAGTACCTAAATTTTTTTTAAAATAGAATTATCTCAAATTTTTTAGAGACACAAATTATCTCAAATTTTAAGTTTTAGAAAGAAAGTACATTAAAATTTTAGAGAGTGAAACTATATCAAATTTTAAAAAGAGAAAGTACATAGGACTTTTTGGAGAGAAGCTATCTCAAATTTGTTAGAAAAAGAAAAGATCTCAAATTTCAAAATTTAGAGAGAGATTATATTAAAATTTTAGAGAGAGAAACTATATCAAATTTTAGAGAAAGAAAATACTTAAAAAGAGAAATTATCTCAAAAATTTTAGAGAGAGGAAATATCTCAATTTTCAAGTTTTAGAGAGCTTGAGAGCATATTAAAATTTTACAAAACAAAACTATATCAATTTTTAAATAAATAAAGTATTTAGTTTGTTAGAGAGAGAAACTATCCCAATTTTTAGAGATAGAAACTATCTCAAATTTAAAATTTTAATTTAATATTTCAGAGAGAAATAATATCAAATTTGAGAAAGTATCTGAATTTTTTGAGGGATAGAAACTAGGTCAAAATTTTAGATACATCAATTATCTCAAATCCAAAGTTTTAGCCAGAGAAAATATCTTAAAACTTTAGAGAGAGAAACTATATTAAAGTTTAGATAGAGGAAATACTTGAAAATTTTTAGAGAGAAATATCTCAAAACTTTTAGAGAGATAAATTATCTCAAATTTTAAGTTCTAGAATGAAAAAGTATATTAAAATTTTAAGTGATGGAAACTATTTCAAATTTTAGATAGAGAAACTACCTAAAAATTTTTAGACAAAAGATTTTATCTCAAATTTTAAGTTTTAAAGTGAGAAAGTATTTTTAGGGTATTTTTTAGCACTTGTATCGCTAATGCAAATAAGGAGCCCACAGGTACCAAAATGCTTGCAAACCATGGAAGCACTGTTAAAATAAACCTTGATCTGCAATAAATTTTTGAAAGCCGTTGGATGGGCCCCATAAAGCATGTGGGGGTAGAACTCGACTCCCTAAGAACACCCACCAAGTATCATCGTGATTCAACGACGTTAAGATGGATCAGACACAAAACCAGTTTTCAAGTTCAGCCCCTAACATGTTTAAATATACCTCATAACTACAGTGCTATCATCGAAACCTCATATGAGCATCAAACTATTTCTGTTGGATTCAAAAGGCCCAAAAATCCCTAGATATCAAATTTCAACTCATTCGGATGCTTCTGGACTATTATGCGGCCAACTTATCCAAAAAGGGTAGGTTACACACTATTCTAATGCACCCTTGGTGGACCAATTTCCATTTATGGAAACTATGTAATATGATTTTGGGATCACCTTCAAAAGGCCATAACTTCTTCATTTAAGTCGAATCAAGCCCAAATTTCATAAGGTTCTTCGTCTTGTCAACACGCAAGATTTTATACATGGCACTGCCTGTGACATGGCTCGAGACTGAAGAAATCCTAGAGATAAGTTGCTCAAGGGAACTCATGTATTACAGATTTTAACAAGAGGGAGATCCCTTCAATCAAATGGTCGTTTCACAAAGCCCTGACCTCGAATCCAAAGTAAACATCATATGTGATAAACAATTAGAAAGGATGTATTTTGAGGTTGCAAGAAGGGGTATTTTCCGACGACCAGAATTATTCCAACGACTTTCCCAATTCGAAAAGTGGTGGTCTGGTCACCAAATCAAACCATTATTGTCACCAAACGATCATGACAGCTTTCCCATTATTCTACGATGGAAAGATCGGGCCAAAATATCACCCACCCTCTGACCGTACAAACCGAAGGGCGACCGAGTACAGGACAGCAAAGGGAGGTGGCAAACGCCACTCAAGTGGGAGTGGCTCAACACATATAACGGGCAGAATCAATAACAAACCACGAAATAAAACCAAAATCCAAAAGAAGAATCGTTTCCATTAATAATCATTCTCCAAAATCCTTTTACAATCAGTTTAAGGCACTAATGGCCCACAAGGTACTAGGTAAACAACAAACAAATAGACAGTGGCGTAGCCACCCAAACACCTACTATAGCAAGCTCTAGAAAGATCTCTTCTTCAACTTCAAGCTTTAAGCGCCCCAAAAACCTGAACTGTTGCCCTCTCAACCGGGCCAGAAACTTTCACTCTACAAGAATGAAAATGAGGGGAATGAGCTAATAGCCTAGTAAATAGATCTACACCATTGCGTTCCGGTCTAAAATCATTAACAGTAAATGACAATATTTTCATGCACACAGCTGTCATGAAAACTTTCATTATTCAAACCCATTAAGTACTTTAATAGTACAAGGGTATACAAAGTCTAATTGTCAGAATAACATACAGTGTAAAAGCCGTCAGTCATTTAATCTCTAGCCGATCAGTGAAACAAACATATCACAATCTCACACAATAGAAGCTAGAGAAACCTACTTCTAAAGTAGAAGTTCCATTGATTAGGCTAAGTCAATCCGGTAGCTTGGAACCTCTACCCTCGTTCAAGAGGGAGGACAATGACAAATGAGTGTCCCACTTCGTAATGTCTCCACACACACACACATCCCTAACGCGCTTTGGGGTTTTCGATAGGCAGAGGCCTTGCAAGACATGACCCTCTCATAAGCCCTTCCGGCAAAAGGGTGTTACACTACCATCGGGTGAACCAATGCATAGTGCCAATAAAGATTTGGGGGGAGTGACCCACCCTATTGTTCAGTTTCACCACGTACCCCAGTCCTATCATTGGGGTCGGGGCACAGTCAGTAATTACCGACATAACAGTATCCAACTACCAATGGGTGACCCATTGCGTAGTGGTCAATGTCATATCAGTATCATAGTATCGTATTATCACATTTCTAATATCACAGTATCAGTGTCACATTATGACGATATCAGTATCTCAGTATAACAGTAGCAGTACTATAGTATGACAGTAGCAATATTACAGTATGACAGTAGCAGTATCACAATATGACAGTAGCCGCATTACAGTATGACAGCAGCAGTATCACATTATGACAATAGCAGTATTACAGTAAGGCAGTAGCAGTATGACAGTACATGTATTATAGTGTGGCAGTAGTAGTATTACAGTATGGTAATAACAATATCACAGTATGACAACAGCAGCATTATAATATGGCAGTAGCAATATCTCATTTTTAGTATCACAATTTACATTTCCTGACATTTTAGACAGTGATGTTTGACCATAAAGAGGGTCGTAACTTTTGATATATTTGAAATTTGGAAACAATTTCAAAACCAATTTTATAAAAGATGCACATATCTTTCAAATGGGGGTAGTTTAAAAGTATTTGGACCCCGTTTAGCCCTTCAAAAGTTCAAAGCAATAGTGGTTTACTATTTGTGCTCTGTTGTGCATCTGATATAGTGACATGCCTCATTTAGTACACTATAACTCTTAATCCATAAGGTATTTTAAAGTGGTTCCACAACTAAAATTCTAGTAAAAACATGTATCTTTTCAACAAGGGCATTTTGAAAGTGTCTAGACTCTATTTGGTCATTCAAAAATCCATGACAACTAAAGTGATGGTTATGAATTTTAGTGAAATCAATCCATAGTGACATGCCTTCACAAATAATTACATAACTTTCAATCTAGGAAGAATTTCGAAATAATTTCCTTTGCAACTTTAATCCACTCAAAGATCTTCCCAATGGCGATGTTTTGAGAGAAATTGGACTTCATTTGGTTAGTAAAAACCCATGGTAATAGTAGTGATAGTTAAAATACACAGGGAAATTAGTCAACAGTGACATGCTTATAGATATTGGAATATAACTTCCCATTTATAAAG